CCAAGTGGGACTCGAACCCGCGACCGCTGGCACAGCAAGTAGGGTCACTACAAACTGAGCCAGACGTGCCGTCAAATAATACCTGAGAAAAAATATTTAATACCTAACAGGAGAAATTTATAAGTAATCATATATAAATAACCATGATTCTTATTATCGTTAGCATGGACTGCTGTAGATCGTGAAGTCTAAATTCCCGGTTGGGCTAAATTAGTTATTGTTTTTATTTGTTATTAAATATTCATAAGAAACCCAGACTTAGGAAGTTGGTAGCGAAGAGAACCTAGCAAGTTTTCGAAAGACATGTGAAGTTCACCAACTCGCACTTAGTGGACTATGGCCTGATACCCCTCGTACTGAAGGGAGGCCCATGCCCAGAAGTGCAACAGTGTACGTTAAAAAGGGCTGAATACAGCGTTTACAACCCTATGATTTAGGGAGCACGTTAAGGTGTCAATCCTGAACCGACCAATTTAATTTAAATATGAGAATTAAAAGGTATATATATGTATATAGAAATTGTGCTTCTATTTACATATACACTAGTGTCTTGTACAATATTATATTTTCAGCGTACTCTCAGTGAGATTTGCCGCCGAAACCAAAATCGGTTTACACAACCAAAAAACGGGACTTAATACAGCACTATGCAGAAAGATGGAGCTCATTCAGCTTTAGATTTTGATCTACTCGAAATAAAACTTGGCAATGTTTTTAATTTAAGCCAAAAACTTTATAAAGAATTCTATTTAGTTAGACGAAAATTGTAAAAGCTCTACTTTTTATTTAGGTATATTAAAACCCAAACTTCTTTTAACCAGATTTTTCTCAAACCATATTTAATGAACTTTGAGCTACTAATAATTAATATACTAAAAAAATAAAAAAAAAAACTTTGAACTAACAATTTATCACTACATCATATTTAAAATTAGTCTTCCATCTCGCTGACTTTGTCTTTGGTCGTGTTAATCGCAGAAACTGATTTGTTATGGTTTTCACTTCTAGAAAGAGGGACGGAATACTACCTTTATGAAGATATTTCTGAATCAAGTCAGGAAAAATATCCCCTCTAGGGCCGTACCGGAGCGAAGCGATAATAAGCTGCTAGCAATAAATAAATTAAAAGATAAATATAGTCTAGGTTCTAAATCTAATTATAATACTTACTTTTAATCTAAGCCTGTAGCCTGTGCTAGCGAGATAAACTCAAAATGGTCGAAAAAACAAAACACAAGTACAACCTCGTTATAATAATTCCTTACTTACGGATAAGTGTCGATTAAAAAATGAAAACCTTGCGAGACACAGCCTTTAAAACAGGCTTTATTAGCCCCAAGTAACCTCGCTGCCAAAACCTTAATCAAAAGCTAATCGTAACAAGGAAAGGAAAGGCCGAGCGGAGGTCATTATAGTTCAACACATTTGAATATTTGCCAATTCCTTGATAAGTAAGTTGTAGAAATAGCATAAGATAAAATATCAGTATATAGTTACTGTTAATATTATCTATACTAATATTATAAAGAGGTAAAGTTTGTGAGTTTGTGATGTTGTAGGGGGTAATCTCTGGATCTACTGAACTGATTTAGATGAAATTTGGTAAGTAGATAGTTTGAGACCATGGGAAGAACATAAGATACTTTTTATCCCGGAAATCATCCCTTCAGAGGGTGAAAATGGGGATGAAAGTTTGTATGGAGAATCAAGCTAGGGACGAACCCGAGCGAAGCGAGGCTGAGTCGCTAGTCAGCTTATATAGTTAAGTTTACTGCGCCTTAAAGTAATAAAAATGTATTGATTTTTAATGTTTTTTGTGAATTTAAAAATAGAACACTGTTTTAGAAGTGGCAAATTGCCTTTCGTCGTGTCAATTATTTTTAGATTACATAGTTTGACAAGAATTAACAAAATTCATCTTTTAATACTGGGTACATGCTATTTCTATAACATTTATATTCTGTGGCATTTTAGTTTACCGTTTTTGGGAGTTTTTGATCGTTCTCGAATAATGGCGATGTTGTCTCGGAATAATCATAATGCTAATTCTGATATTCTAGTTTTGATATATACTATATTTAACTACTATACTTAACAGATTATATTAACCCTAATGTCTCTCTGTAGAATTTGTAACATTTTCATCAACTACTGGATGAAACCCTCCTCATACGCCCCCCCCCCATACAATCACCCCGATTTTGAACTACTAGAATCCATCCCGTACTTGCCACCTATTTTAAGTGATTGGTCTAAAGTGCCGCAAGGCGTCCTACACTTCGTTTGCCTAAGCGCGATCTCCACTCTAACACGTGTCGGCTCCATCATATATCTATATGCCTAGAGACATGACCTTCCACTTCACCGTGCTAATTCTAACATTAAATTAATGTTTATTTATCAATATAAATCGGAATAATATTAAAAATGTAAAAGTATTTAAACATATATGTGTATTTGTTACTGCTTAGTCAGTAAAACGGCTAAACGGATTTGAATAAAATTTAGTAGGTATACCTACACAGATAGACCATGATCAAGATCGTAACACAATATAAGATACTACGAGCGAAGCGAGAGTAATTTGCTAATTATTAATCTGACTACTGTAATAAATATGACAGGTTGTATGAGTGTGTATGTTTCTTACTCCTACATATACACTGAAACGACAGGACGAATTCGAATGAAATTTAGTGTACAGATAGATTCTTTCTTTTTTTTAAACTTAAAAAAAAAACCGAGTTCCAGGCACTAAAATATAAAAAAATAACTAAACGGGGGTTTTCATTTAGAATAGATACCTAATCAGATATTTTCGAAGTAAAGTAAAAAAGGAAAATAACAATAATAATACAAAATAAAATGAAGACAGTAAAAATCATTTCATTTAAATATTTGTTTTTGCATTTCTCTAGGTTGGCATGCTGTGGACTTGTTTATGCTTACTCGCTGTTCGACTAAATAGTTCAGTTTTACACCATTAAAAGGGCTTTCTTTTTTTATATTTGCGATCTGATTTAACTCTTATTGTTCTTCGTCGTGTTATTTCAAACGAATAAAGCTTTGTCATGCTACCTCTTTGAGTCTGTATATTTCTATAGAAATAAAAACGTATTTAGCGTCCAAAAACACCCACTCAAATTACAAACCTATTAATATATTATTAAATATTCAATAACGATAATATATCACAATTTAACTAACTGTTCGTCACTTTTATTTATTTGGGACAACAAAATAATATTTAGTTTTGGTTAGGATAAGCAAAAAACTTATCTTTTTAACGTTTTAAATAAAATTATTTTTTCCGATTTTTCGGGGATTTATTTTGATTTGTGGTTCCTGATATTTCAAATGCTTCACAACAATCATGGTCACGGGAGAGACTGGCTTGATGGCTATTATTTGCAATACTTTAAGGAATTATTAAAAAATATTATTTCTTATCTTTCTTATCTTCCTATGTACCCATTTATAGTACAATAAATAATATATAATACTATACTCTTCTTCGAATATCTTACGTTATTTGACAAAGTTCAATTTTGTCCGTCCATGCTATTGTTGATAGGGTCATGTGTAATTAGCATCGAAGTACTCTGATCTTCCCTTCTTCTGTGATGTGTTTACATTTTCCATTACTGGTAGTATTTTATTTTACTGGAAGATAGCATTTATTGTATTTAATTTTTTTTCGACAAACTGCCTCATTTGCCTAGGGGCTAGCATGCAGACCCGGAGTTTCTGGGTTCGTGTCCCGGCTCGGTTAATGGCACTTATTAAATTTTACTTTCAAGAAATAGCAAGCAATAGTCAAGAGGAGAGAGTTTATTTTACATTATTTCTACTCATATATGTATATATCTCTAGGAATAGATATATACGTTTACACTACGTGTAAAATATACATATAGTATACATGCATATTTCATAATAGATCATTTAAATAAGTAAAAAATAACTAAAATATAATATTAAATTTAAACACAGCATGAAAAGGCTATAATGTGGGTACGAGTGGTATGTCTCTGACCCGGGTTTTGGAATATGACTGCCTTTTCATTGAACTATTTTCGCTGATAAGCGAGATCCCTGACCAAATTAATGTTGATAAAATTGTCCATCAACGTTTTCCTTTAAAGCCTTTTGTTATACGTAATAATATGAAAGTTCTTTTACACTAGCTTTTATTATAATATTTCAATGGACATTATAGGTATAAATAGCTATGATTTTATAGATTAAGCATTTTATTTTACTAAATTCATAAAAAAAACAATTGTTGGTTTTTTAATAAACGTTCTCTTCTTGGGTTCTTACTCAAGCTCAATAAAATGTATTTACAGACTTGGTCTCGAAGTTTTAGATAAGTAATAAAATTTTAAACCTTTTATAAAATCACAAGCAATATTGTTTAGTAACTTCTGCAATTGATAATTTATTATCGTTTCATCTGTTTTTGCTATTTACGTATCTACAACAATAAATCTTTTAATTCTATTTTTTTTTTTAAATAAGAGAATTCCATTCCTATATTCTACATTAGGAGAATAAAAGTCTTGTCTCACTTTTAAATAATTTGCAGTCTTTATTTAAAATAAACACAATATATCAGAATTAAATATTACGAAAAACTAAAATTGACTTGCCTAAGAAGATATTTGGCACACTAATATTTACAACAGGATGAGTCCTCATATTATAAAGGTATATAAGTAGATAGAATAAAATTAAAATGGGTTCTAAATTAAACTCATAGATTGAACTGTTCGAGAAAATTAAGAAATGTAACAAAATTGCAAAAGTTCAGGTAGTAATATAAGACGAAGTTACTATTTACTTTTTAGAATATCTGACTGCTTATGCACTCATCACTCGAGTGCAGTTCTCAATGGGAATTTTTTAATTCATATATTCAGCCTGAATTGAAACTACATGTAACTATAATTACTTACGTTAAGAATTATTTTAAATTATAAGTAAATAAATGTGATCTAGTGGCCAAATATATTTTGAGCATATTTTCCAAAATACTGTACTGAAGGAAATGTTGGCAGAGCTGGGATACCTTTGTAATTAAGGTCTTGTATTTGAGGACTGGCTTGATTGTGATTAATTTGTGATTGTAAAAGAGGTGTTTGTTTAAAGAACTGTTTTTCAGGTTTAGATTGTGGTAAAATTAGTGGAATTTCGAATTGTGGCTGGTATTGTTGTGAAAGCAGCTGCGGTTGTTGGTATAAGTATTGTGGTTGCGATTCTAGTTGGTATGGGACCTGATGTGGTGTTTGATATTGCAACGCTTGCTGTTCCTGATGAGTTTGATATTGATTAAATTGTTGAGGCTGTTGGTATTGTAGTGATTGCTGTTGGGAATATTGAAGTTGTTGTTGTGGTTGGGAATATTGCAGTGGTTGCTGTGGTTGGGAATATTGCAGTGGTTGTTGTGCTTGGAGATATTGTAATGGTTGTTGTGGTTGGCTATATTGCAGTGGTTGTTGTTGATAATCGAGTGGTTGTTGTAGTTCTTGGGGTTGATATTGAATTTGAGGTTGCACAGCTTGATATTGCAACTGTTGCTGAGCTTGTTCATTACCTTGATAATGTAATGAGGGTTGAGATTGATATTGAATTTGAGGTTGTGGAACTTGATGTTGTAATGGTTGTAGACTTTGTTGAACTTGAATTTGTGGTTGTATATGAACTTGTTGCTGATTTGATTGTTGTGGCTGTTGTTGTTGCAGAAGATTGGGATGGTCAAGTTGGTAGTTGATTTGTGGAATAGATTGATATTGTTGTGGTTGATTTTGTTGATGACTTTGAACCTGGAGTTGTGGCTGTGGTGACGGAGCGGATAGTTTTGATTGAGTTTGATCAGCAGAGGGCGATTGACTGAATGAAAAACTAGCATAGCTCTTAGCATTTTGTTGATTAGCGTTGTAATCCTGTAAAAATAAAAAAATATCTTTAACAATATTAAATAATAAATGTATTTGAACACACACGTAGCATATAAATATTTTCATATGTATTAAATATAACTAGTTTAATATATTCACCTGGATAGTTTGTTTTTCTAAAACTTGTGACTGGACTGATTTACTTTTTATATCTCGTTGCTCGGTTTGTTTCACTTGAAATGGCTGTGAAGCGAATGAGACTCCAGCATGAGTAGGATTTTGTTGTGGCTGCAGATATCGCAATGATTGCTGAGAAGCAAACAATTGCGGTTGGCTATATTGAATTGGTTGTGGTATATTTTGCACATTATTAGAGTGTTGCTGAAATAATGGTTGTACTGGTCCTAAATTTTGTTCGTACAGAGGTCGAATTAAACCCTGAGTTTGTTCGTAATTAAATATTGGTTTTGCTAGTTTTTGTTGCTTTGGCGTGTACTGAATAGCATTTAGTGATGGAAATGATGATCTGTGTTCCGAGTAGGCTAGTTGAGAGGGCACTGGTGCTGATACCTCATAGGTAGTTGGATATCCAAGCTGAAAATTACAAATTTTCTTTAAATAATTATTTTAAATAAATATTTTATTTTGTACGTACAAGTATAATTACATACATTCTTTCTTTAAAATATGTTTTTAAATATTGTATTAGTTTTCTAATATATCATATTTAAACTGACCCTTGGCTGATAAACAGAGATCGGAGAGTAGAGGTGACTAGCAATAGCAGCTTGGAAGTGAGGCCCCTGACCGGCGAATACATCTGATATCTTGGCAATCTGAGGCCCTGGTGTGGCGTAAGCTTGCTGTAATGAAAAAAAAAACAAAAATGTTTAGAATTTATTTGTACTCTCCCCAGTGTGTTGTATACATAATTATACTTAAGTAATACATGCATTTTAATTTCATAAATCTTTTCTATTAAGTATCTAAATCTATACTAATATTATAAATGTGTAAGTTTGTGAGTATGTTAATGAAATTTAGCACAGAGATAGATTATAGTCTGGAATAGATGGATATTTTTAATCCCGGAAAAATATACGGTTCCCTTGGGATAAGCTTTGTTTTTGTTTTCCGATTGGCGAAACCGAGCGTAGCGTGGGTGAGCCGCTAGTCTCTTATATAATGTACACCTTATTTCTAACATCTAATTAAGATCTTTAATTAAGATTTCTAAGGCTATGTGTAACGTCTTCAGTATTTAACAGCAGTAACAAAAGCTTCTTTCATAAAAGATAAAGTACCCCTGACCCACAAGAGTCTGTACGACATGCGAACAAGGATGTTTGGTGCGATCTTATTAGGAGTAGCCGTCTCCTTTGCGTCTATTAGAAACTGTTTCCATTTATACAAAACTTGGCTAAAAATGATTACAAAAGAGAACTTATTTTTAATGTGTGTTGATAATATAGAATTTTAATTTAATTAAAATATGCTTTACGGATTTTCTGGTGCACTCTTGAGAAATTAGATGTCATAAAACCATGAACATAATATAAAAGTTCGCTGACTCAACTAAAACAATATTATGATGTCCATTTTTAAAGAAAATAAGTACACTTATTTTATTTATACAGATAAATGCCTTGAAATGTGATGATATTTGATATGTATAATTTATCATCAGATTTTAATTAGTTATTATTAATTTAAAACTTCTCCTATTGAATATTAATTCCGCCTTACAATGAGGCGATAATCATATATGACAACAAAAATGGCCTATTGCATTTACATTTGATGCATTTCTTCAAAATTCAAAAATGGCATTAAATATTGTAAGGTACTTTTTTGCCATTTTTGAATTTTTGAAATCATTATTGTAAAATAGTGGGTAGGCACTGTCTGTAACAAGTATGTGTTTGAGGCGTCTATAACTTCAGTCTCTCCCGTGACTATGATTGCTGTAAAGCATTCGAAACGTCGGGAATCAAAAATCAAAATAAATCCGCGTAACAATCCGAAAAGATAATTTTATTTAAAATGTCAAATATTCGCGTAAATCTAAGAAAATATAATAAGGAAATAAGAAAAAAATTTATTTGAGAATTAATGACGTTGAACATATGGTTTTTTTAAGTAATACTTTCAGTACCAAATAATCCAGAATAATTTTATTGATTCAAATAAAAAAAATCATTAAAAATTTAAGGGTTTATTTTATCTTAATTTCATATATTTTCACCAACAAAACCTTTGGAGCACCGTAAGATACTATAACTCAATATATGACGTGGTTCAATGGAAACATTTTTTTACGAGACTCCTTCACCCTTGGTTTATAACTGTGGGCGGTGCCCAGTTCCGTCAGAGATAAGACGATTAGTGCTGTAATATTATTTCAGTGCAGGACGTAGGAAATTGACTGAAGTGAAAAGAAATGGTGATAAAAGGTTTAGCTCTTTTAATCATTTTATACTATCTTATCACAGAGCCCGATTCTTCAAAAATGCAATAAAGAAGCAATGACCGTTGACATAAAGTTTCTTGTTATGTACTAACTGGATATTGTCGAGGGTGATGTACCATAAGCATGAAATTTCTGTTATATGTTTACTTTTAGGTTAAAACTAAAATAAAATATTTACGTATAAACAATTGTGTTCATTTTATTCACAGCTAGCGACGCACCTTCGCTTCGTTTTCATTTTTTTAAACGAAACCCTAATTCTTTTTCTAAAATAAAAGTAGCCTATGTTACTCGTTATAACATTAGCTATATGCAGGTAAAAGTCACGTCAAAATCGATCCAGCCGTTTCGGAGATTATCCAGAACAAACAGACAGACAAAAATAATATTAGCTATCTGCCAGTGAAAGTCCCGTCAAAATCGTTCCAGCCGTTTCGGAAATCAGCCCAAACAAACGGACGGACAAAAAATTTAAAAATTGTAATTTTGTTATAATTAAATGTAATTACTGTATATACTTTCAAATGCATTTAGTAGGTAAATAGCTGTTATATTGACATTACAAACAAACATTTCTTAAATATAAAATCTAAATATTTTTAGTCGTACTGCTTTCTTCTAAAGCTCTATTCTAATTGTTTCATCTATACTTAAAATAGATGGAAAACTAAGGGATGGGGGATGGGGAAGTTGAATAATACGTTCCCAAAGTAGAAAACTTTGTTTTCTACTTTAGAAGTACTCTTCGAAGAATTGTTAAATCATTACAATTATTTACTTAAGCGAAAGTATACGTATATTGTATGGTCTATTGATCATGCACTAACGACTCACCCTCGCTTCGCTTGGGTTCGTCCCTAGGTTGATTCCCCATACAAACTTTCATCCTCATTTTCACCCCCTTAAGGGATGATTTCCGGGATACAAAGTCCACCTATGTCCTTCCTCGGGTCTAAAACTATCTTCTTACCAAATTTCATCTACATCGGCTTAGTAGATCCAGAGATTACCCCCTACAACGTCACAAACTCACACACTATACCTCTTTATAATATTAGTATAGAATAGGTAGCTATATTTTATATGATTTTTTTATATTATAATCCTTTCTTAGAGATTTCAGCTATATGGTAGTAGTAGTATACTAATAGATAATATAAAATAACAGGGGTTCAATATTTGATTTTTGGCTACAAGACCCTAAAAATTTTTGTGGAAAATTAATACAAAGAAATTCTCAAAGTAAGTATGTAACATTAAATTACACTAAAGTATGTTTTAGTTTTAGTAAAAAACTTTTATTAATGTTGACATCTATTTATGTTTGTTAAACTTTATGTTTGTAAGAAAATAGTATTTTTTTCGGCCAATATGGTAACACTTTGAGGCCTGTCGTTCTTCGTAACTGTAAAATCTTTAAATTTATTAATTGAGTATATGTTTAAGCCTTTTTAACGTCCCATTGCTAGGCACGGGCTTTCTCTGAATGCGAGAGGGAGCAGGCCATATTCCGCCACGCTGACCAAATGCCTCTATTTAGAACTTACTAGGTGTTGTATGTTTTTCTTCACCGTAAGACAAGTGATAAGCATGTTGAAAATGATTCACACAAAAATATCGGATGTACGAGACCCGCGATTTGAACTCGCTTCACTTGGTTTTCCAAGCAAGTACGTTACCACTGGGATTCCACTGCTTCATCAGTAACAAATGCTAAGTTTTAATTTTCCGCTACATTTACTATTCCTAGCATTAATATAGTTTAAAAAATATAAGTATAAAAACATTTTTAGTGTAATTATCGAAGTTGAAATAAAAATTTAGAACGCCTGATGAAAATATATAATTAAGAAATGTAAACTAGCAACTTTGACAAAACGGGGTCTTACGAAATAAGTGTGTAGGCGTAAAAATACTATTTTGAGTTCTTAGTTATTTTAGCTCCCTAAAGTGACGTAAATTAGAAGGTAACATGGATTTACTCTTTAAGGAATCTAGTTGTCAACTTGGGGTGAAAACATTTGCATCTTAATCTGATATACGATACTAAATTATGGAAAAGCCTTTTGAAATTGCAGAGAAATCACACTAGAATCACCTAAAATAATGTTTTGTTTGTTAGTGTACATATTTTATAACATTATAGGTTTTTTCACGAATTAAAATAATATACTAAAATATTCTATACTAGCGAAAACAAATCTGTCCCACGGGTATCGTTCATTTTCCGGGATAAAAAGTAGCCTATGTGCTATTCCAGACTATATATATATCTATATCTGTGCCAAATTTTATCTAGATCCGTTAAGCCGTTCTGGCGTGATTGAGTAATAAACATTCATCCAAACCTCCAAACATCTAATAAGCTTTCACACTTATAGTCAATAAGAAGAACTCGTAAGATTAATTATGTACTACTCATATTTTGATAGGAAAAATATTTCTAAATAAACTTATATATTAAAACAATACTAACTTTTATATTTTTAATTGACATAAATATTTTAAATATCTTAAGAAATATTTGAGCTAATTTTTAAATCTATCAAGTCATAAATCATTTGCTTGCAAGGAAAAATATTTTTTTTTTATTACTTTGTACCTAACGTGAAGCCACGTGAATAGGTAATATTAAAATCCTCCAGTATGTTTTTAAATGTACTCGTAAAATAACCTTCATTTTAATTTAGATGTATAAAAATAGAAATAATTTTGAGAATTTTATTTTACATAATGTTGTATAAGATAAAGTAGAAATAACTTAGAGATGGTTAAGTAAATCGTAGCGATAGCGTCACGGCAACTCATATATGTAGAAGATAAAACGTTTATTTGAACATTACACTACCGTTAGTTGACTTTAACTGTTTAACCAAATAATTATTTTATTTTTTTTAAAGTATAGCTCATCGAGAGTAAGTATTTTTGTGTATGTGCTAATTGAAGCGATTGATTGCTCAACTTGTACTTTTTGAAGCAATTAACAAGAAAATTTGAATTGAATTGAAGCGGTTGGATGTTTGTAGAGATAATTTAATTTAAAGAGACAAGTGGCACTTGGTATTTTTTTATGAGGTTCGATTCCCGCGGAGTACATATGTACAATGTACATATACTACGTAAATGGACTGTAGGTATTAGTTACTCTTGGCCAAAAAAATAAACTTTATCGTTCCACTGAGTAGAGATCCTATATTTTTTATTTTTTAAGTATTCTCTTCTTTATTTCCTAAAAAACGATATGAACTTGAACACCCCTATCACAATGTCAAATATAAAAAATTTTTTAGTCAATTTGTTTTTTTTTTCATTAAGACGTTGAATGATAAATAATTATTTGTTTTAGTTCGGTAAAACCACTGGATTTCTCGTGTTATTTAAAATATTGGGTAT